ACTCACCCCACTCTAAAATTTGAACTGCTTCCTGACCACAATGTTCTGGGGACAGAAGTGAATTCCTTTGATCCAGTTCTGGCTTTTGACCAAAGTGGCAGTCTTGTTCTTTGGCATGACAACAAGAGCTCTGCATAAAAGCAGTCTATGCTGCTGGTTGATCTGCACTTAACACCAGCCCTGGTCTTAGATTCTAGCAGGAAGAAGCATGTCTACTTTGTTTCATTTCTAAGTGGCAAACAATTAAAATGCTAGCAAATGGAAAGAAAGGGTGAATGCGGGTGATTTGAGACCTAGGAGATTGGACAGAGGGTGGGGTTTAGTCCCCTGACAGCTCTGAATGGGGCTTTATCCTGCCTGTCCTGCGTGGCTTCCATTTTCATCGTGACCATCTCAAATGGACTGGCTTGATGGAGGAATCTTGAGTGAATTCTAGGGGCCTTCAGAGGATTTGAGGTAATCATTCTCTCTGCCAGGGGAGTGGGTGTGGGCCCCTTCAACATCGTCACTCCTCCTTGGAGGCTCCAGAGTTTAATGGGAGAGAGTACACTGGTCAAGCTGGAGGGCTTAACCTCTCCGAGCCTCAATCTGATCTTCTGCACAAGAGCATTGCTGGAATGGCAGTGTTCAGAGGATGCAATGAGAAAAATGTATTTAAAGCACTTAGCCCTGTGCCAGGCACTTAGCAAGTGCTTAAAGAACAGGAGCGGTTGCTCCTGTCACTATTTTAGACTTCTAAATTCATCTAATAAAACCATCATCGTATTACGCCAAAGGGAATGAAAAGCCAAGTGTGGTTCTCTGTTCCAGGTCACAGAGCTCCCAGGTGAAGGGCAGGGCTGGGACCCCATCCCAGGTCTCCCCCCCGCCCCCCAGCTGTCTTTCTGCTGTACACCGCTGGCTGTCAGGACTCATTTGGTGCAGAGGAGCTCTTCAAGACCTCCCCGCGCAGGGGCCTTCCATGGTGCCCCCTTCAATCGAGTCTCCACCCCAACATGTGCTCAGTCTCTAAATCCTGTCCATGTTCCTTCCAAAATATCCTACAAAAATGCCTCCTACTTTCCTGCCTCCTGGTCATTGCAATTGCTGTTCCGTCTAGAAGATTCTCCCCTCTTTTCCAGCCATGGCTGACCCCCCCCTTAGTTTCAGCCCACATCCCTCCTCCTCAGAGACCTTCCGTGACCATCCTCGCTGAAGCAACTCTACCCCCATCTCCTTTCTCTCTTTCTCTCCCTTTCTTTCCAGTTTGTGGCCTGTATAGCACTCCCCTGCCCTTTAATTTTCTTTCCTTTTTTATTGTCTCTTTTCCTAAATGTAAGCTCCAAAAGGACAGAGAACATGTCTTCCTTGCTCATTGCTGTGTTCCCAGCAACTAGCACAAGGCATGACACATAGGTGCCTGGTAAATACATGCTGGGTGAATGAATGAACGAGTGAATGAAAGAATGAGTGGATTCCAGAACTAGCATATTTGTTAACACCTGGATAGGACCAAGGAAAGGATTTTAATTTGTTCGGAGAGAGACCTAGGTACCTGCTTGTCCCCCTTCCTGGTCTCCTAAAAGAACAGTGTGAGGCTACCCACCAGACAAGGACCCTTCCAAGCAGGCAACCCACACAAAAGCACATCTTGCAGTCAGGGGAAATGGGCGGATAGTTGCTAATTGCGACTTCCAACTGGGCTGATCTTTCCAAAGTTCGAAAGGCGCCTGCCTCCAGAAATCCCAGGCTGCTCCTGCTGCTGAGGCTGGGGAGGGAAGAGAGGAGGGGTGTGCCTGGATGCCTCTCGGGCTGGCACGAAGAAGCCACATCTCCTCCTCCCTCCTCCCCCCAGCTCCTCTCCAAGAGAGGAAGCAATGCAGATGGAGACGAGAAATAAATATTCCTGCCTGCTCCGTGCCACTGCAGACGTTTTCCAAAATGTCTGGCTTGGACCATGAAATCAAGCCCACCCAGGAAAGGAGGCACTCAGCGGGAGAAAGAGGGGGGAAAGGGTGGTATATTTGTCGATACTTGTCAGCTTTCTGGGGGGCACAGCACATGGCTCATACTTGGCAGCCCTGCTGAGGTGGGGACGTGGTAAGTGCACAGTAATACTTGAAGAATTGAATCAGAAACAGGAGCAGAGTTAAGGAAATCCTGCCAGGGTGCCGGCACCACCTCTCTGCCTTTGTCCAGAGTCCCGGGACTCACAGCTGGCTCTCGCCTCATTCATTTCCAGGCTCTTTCCACAATGCCCGCTGCCCCTGCTCAACCCTCTGCTCTCGCCTCCACTCCACTCTGGCGTGATTACTACAACTGGGCTGCAGGAAGTCTTCAAAGGCCCATTGAAATTTGGGCAGGAGCTCAGAATCCACGTGCGGAGATAGATATTCCTGCCACCTCTAAGCACAGCTCGCATTCTCCAACGCTGGAATACCAGCAGGAGATGAGAACAGAGGCTGCAAATGATAAGTGGGTGCTTTTGGCCGTGGGATGGCCAAGTGTGTGGGAGAAGTGTCACTAAGGAAGGGAAGTTACAGGCCCAGCAACAGGCACTGAAGTGTTCTGCAGTTACGGGGACTTCACTAGGCATGCTGTGAGGCTGCAAAATGTCTCAGAAAAGAGATGAGAGCATGAGAATTTCAGCTTGAAAACTCCTGCCTAGGCTATGCTAGGTCTTTGTTTCTCACCCTCCTGTGAGAATCCCCCTGGTACAGCGTCCTTGTACTGCTGCTATGGGACCCCCTTCCACTAGTTCTGCTGGGAAGTCAGTCATGAGGGTGGGGCCCTGGGTGGACTGAATTCTGCTCTATAAAAAAGCAGAGGGGCTTTCCTGGTTTGCACTCGTTCAAGTCCAGCGCAGTGAAAACACTTGCTCAAAATGAAGACTCGAAGAAAGTGATATCTTTTGTGGGTGTCAGGGGAATGTTTTCCAGAAATGCTGCAGTTAATTCTGCCTCTTTTCACCATTTCCATGACTTCACTGAGGAATGAAAGATTATCTAATATTTCCCACTCATGTGCCCCGAATTCTTCTTTATGGATCTTCCCCACTCATCTGCCCATCCGACTTCCAGTGCTAGGCAACTGCCAGCTGAATCCCACTCTTTCCAGGAAGCTGTTCAATGGTGGGGGAAGCTGGCAGGAGACCTGGATTGCTGTGTGACCTTGGACACATTACTTCCCCTCTCTGGGCCTTGGTTTCTTTGTCTGTCAAAGGAGTGGCTGGATAGATATCCTATCAGCTGGGACAAATTATGGGTGGTTCTATAGAGAGCTACAGGATAGACTTCTTATTGTCGCCATCGTCTACCCCACATTTACCACTAAATTCTAGGGACTAGGACCGTCACACTTCTGGGGCTGAGTTCATTCCTTATATCTGGAAGTTTAGAGCTGCATATTAAAACAAGCTGGGTATGTGGATACATGGATGCTATCTAGAATTGTTTTAAATGTTTTTTGTCTACATTTCCCTTAATTCCCAGAAAATCTAACGCATGGGAAATACCAATGGAAGGCATATTTTGGGAGAACTTGTGTGCATGTGTGTTTGCGCTATATAATAATCATGTTGGTTATCTTTCATTAATGATAACCACCATTTATTGAGGCCTACTTTGTGCGAGGACTATGCCATGCGCTTTCACTTACATTATTATCTTCACAACAACTCATAGAAGACCTTATCCACTCCTCACTCCCATACATCATGGTAGTTGACCACAATTAACACGAGTGTGCACAAACCGAAACCAAAATTACACAACAGCACCCCTCCCCAAAGCCAAAACCAAAACCAAAGCAAAGCTTTGGCTGAGAGAGACTGAAACAGCTACTGAAGATCACACAGCTGGTGGATATTGGCAATGGGATTTGAACCTGGTTCTGCTAGATTCCAAAGATGATGATGTGCTACCCCCTAGCCTGTGCTGGGCCTCGTCTCGGCATTCTGTTCCTTTCTAGGAGATTCTTCCTACATTAAGGCTGTTTTAAAGATCCAGAGATAATAGGACTTAAGCTGACTGCCTTTCCTATGGCATTGTCAGAGGAAAACAGCTAGTCTCAGAGCCAGCAAAAACCCTGCTATCAGAAATGGCAGGACAAGATGCAGCTGTCATAGGCAATGAGCACAAGAAGGGTGGGAGAACCAGGCCCCCAAAGCAGCCCATTTCCAGTGACCATCTCCTTTGGTCATTTGCCTACAGAGAATTAGGCTGGCTTCTGCCCACAACCAAACTCGCTTCTAATTCTGCCACAGAATTAGAGCCCCTCACAATTTGTACAGATTCGGTCATCTGCTCCAGAGGTTGTAAACTCCGGTGTTCCCAAGCCCAGGCAGGTATATGAATGAGCAAAATCGCCAGGAGGACACTACAGGAAACTGGCAAACACATGTCTGGTCAATGGGGACCACTGTGACTTGGCTCCAGCAGACGGTTGCTATGCATGTATGCAGGCCCAGAGCTGCTAACTGTGCCCTTTATGAATAAAGCCTGGAATATGGACATCCCTGTGAATTCTCCGGATTTTTAAATGAAGGCAACTAATTCAATTAAGAAAAGTGTACCTGACACAGTGAGGACCAAATAAAACATATTTAAAAGCTCTGTCTGATCTGAAGGTCTCTATTTGCAACCTTTGAAATTAATTTTCTTCATTTACAGATGGGGAAATGGTAGCCCAGAAACAGGAAGTGATTTGTCTGAGATAGCTAACATGGGCTCAGGCCAACAACTCTCTTTTGGATACATACGTATAGAGACATATGTGTGTGTGTGTACATACATATATATACATACATACTGGATATTCACAAGTGAAATAGAAATGATTTTGGATTACCTGCTGTTGTGAAATGTCCTGCTTATTCTTCTAATGTTATTATACATTGGCAGTTGACCTCAATTAACATACTTATAACCCAAACCAAAGTGACACATTGGCACCTTGCCCTTAAACCCAAACCCAAACCAAAACTAAAACGAAAACCAGGAAGAAAGAAGCTCTTTACTTACGGTAAATGACAAAAAAGAAGAAAACAAAGTCCCTTCGTCATATCTGGATAATTTTGCCAGTACTCCTTCCAAGATAGTAACAAACTAGTAAAACAGCAAAAAAAGAAGAATTATTATTTCAAACTCTAATTGTTCACACCAAGGAGCAACATTCCCCAATCACACAGAGACTAGCGATGACCTCGCTCGGTTTTGCCTTCTATTATTTGATTCCCGCTTTTGGGGAAAGGAATAGATGCTTTCACACAGAAATATTTGACTTATCCGGCTTTCTCTTCATTATTATGTGATTGCAAATATAGAGTGTTACAGAAGTATAAAGTGACAAAATATTATTGAGTTGCATACAGCATGCGATAATATTAAATGCACTTTTCAAAATCCAAAACTGTGCAAAGCAGTTTTTACGTTACATATTAGCACTACATTTAATCCAATCTATTTTTATTTGTATTTTATCAGTAATTTGGGGGAAACAGAAGTTTAGCACTGGCAAATATAAATGTCTTCCCATTCAGCATTACTTAGTTAAAATTCTATAATTCATGAGGGTGACTGAAATAGCTTTATCTGACTTTTATGTTTTATTATGACTCTCGCTGCATGTGAAACGAGGGGAGAGGGGGTTTTCAGGATGGCAGAATTCCTTATTACCGTTTAACTTTCTGTTTCTAAAATCTAACTTTGTCAGGGCTGAAAAACAAAACAAACATTTTCCACATAACCTAGTGCAACGTCTGGGGACAATTTTTATTAAGTTAACACATGCCACTTCATCGATTGATCTTCACACGGCTCGCAATCATCAGAAAAAATCATTCTGAGCCTGGGTGACGTACGATCTTATTTCCTGAGAGATACAAGTATCCAGCTCAACTTTTTAACGTGTTACATTTTAATGGAAATGCAGATATAACAAAGCGATGTTCACAATGAAACATTTCACCTGAAGCTGAAGGTTACCTTTGCAACCAAGAGTGTTATCATTTCTTTAACAGTTTCTTCAATTAGTTCATCTATTTTTGAATGGTATTGATGCTAAAGAACACAGAAAGACAAATATTAGCATGTTGGGGAGGTGATGGCACTGCATCCGTCAGTAATTTTTAGACAACACAATTTATAAATAAAGCCTGGCCTGCAGACCCAGTTTATTTCCATACTCCCAGAAGCAGCTGTAAGATTCTGACTCCAGGTCTTTGATAAAGAGAGATCTGAAGCTCTTAAAAAAGTTACCAGGCACATGGTTCCTCACCCAAGGCTTTTGATAGCTTTGATATGTGTAGATACATACACACGATTACAAATAGCATGCATGGATGGCTTCATGGCCTAGCGGTGTGTGGGTCTGGAACTTACAAAACAAGGTATCACAATAATTTAATACAGGGGATGAAAACTTCTCTTTGGAAAACTGCTGGGGCTTGTGGCTCAGAATTTGACCAAGACCACTGTGACTGATTTTGCAAAAACTGTTCTGAAACCCTCTGATACTTTGGGTTCATGCCCCAGAGCCCACTAGTTCTATCTCTAGATGTTGACTGAGTGCCAAGGCAAAGTGTCATTTTCTGAACCCCTGTAGCAGCCACTCATTTTCTCTATTCATGGAAAAGCAGACGCAGGTTTAGAGCCTCCACTAAGACTCCTGTTAAATTTTTCAATTTCTCTAAAGGCTGCTGTCGATTAAATTTAAATAGTAATTCAAAAACAAACCCCCACACAAACAAAAATCTGCTGTAAATGCCAGGAAAAGAGGAAAAGCGATTTCAACAGAAAATACTGTATGCCAGTTCCTTGACATTTATTAGATCATTTTAGTATCCATTTGAATTATTCTGTATTCCTTAATAAAAAATAACAATGCAAAACATTGCTATTTGGAAAGGAAAATGCACTTACCCACTTTTTAGCAAACTTTCAGAAGGATGATTAATTAGGAATAGAAAAAAAAAGGAACAGTGCAAATAAAAATTAGGACAAAAAGACACATGAGAAAATGAAAATTAAACAAACCATTCAAAAAGCTATGAAAACATACAGAAATAATAAGCCATGGGAATGTGGGTTGATATTCTGATAACTGGCAATCAGAATTAATGAAAGTAAGTAAAGGGATGTGAATTAAGTTAATTCAGTAAAAGTCACAGGGGAATTTCGCTTGTAATTGTGAGACCTGGATAAAGTCCCAGTGCAAAGTTAGGAAGTCAGGTCGACTACGAAAATATAGTTCAGTTTCCTCATCTGTAAAAAAACAGATACTACTACTAACCACTCAGGACCAATGGGTGGGGTGGAAAGGGAAGCCAGTACAAATACTGCTTTTGGAAAGAGAATGAAGCAAACCCTGTTTAAAGATATTTAGCAGCTCTGTTCTTCTATTATTATTATTATTATTATTATTATCTTATTACTTATTATTATTTAAAAACCATTTCCTGGTGGTCCTGTTCTCAGCCTCATAGATCCATTATGAAGATCAAGTGAAGATCAGATGTGAAAACATCTTGTCAACTATAACTGCAATTCAAATATTATTTGTTCAAGTTCATAAAGCAGAAGCTAAGGGTAAGGAGATATGGTCTTAATGCTCCATCTTCCCATTTTAGTTACCTTTCAGTTGATTAGAGGAAAAACAATAAACCAAATGGTCCATGTTGTGTAGTCCTGATGAATCAGAACCCACGTTGGCTCTACTGCTAGCTTCACGAAGGGATTTACTAGTAAGTGGCATAAACCTGAAGCTAAATGCAAAAACTATCTGCAGAATTCTGTGCTAGAAACACAAAGAAAGATGTCAGAGCAAAAGAATTCAGGAATATTGACAGGGCTCCAAATTCATTTTTAGGTCTTGAGATAAGATCCAGTATCACATGCTTACTTTCCTTCTCATGTGACTGCCTCACTCTGCTTGATTTTCTTTGGATTACTATAAATGATTCACATTTATTAAATTAATTATGAGATTCAACTAACTCAGAAAAGCAAGTTGTAGGCAAAATAATACAATCTGAAATATTAAACGAGGGGCATCTAACCAAGCAAAGAACATCACTGAGAATAGAAACATTCTCTTGAAAAACTTGGGTGAAATGGCAAGCAGAGCCAAGAGCAGTTGTTTTCCACACACCAAGAAAGATACAGGCTCTTGGTCTGAGGTGTTAGTAATGTTATTCTTTCTTGAAAATCAAATAAGCTTTCTCTTCACAAGTGGGGGGAACCTCAAACCTTTTCATTCTGGAAGGAGTCCAAACTGAAGGATATGGAGATGTAGTGGATCGATGGGAACCTCTTCCCGCCTTCAATTTTTCCATGCCAAACTTGGCCCTGACCTCCCCACAGAGAGTCCCACTGTCTCTTCACTCTAAACAAATATGATTCTCTCCACTCCTGTTCACATTTCTTTTTTTCTGTCATGAAAAGATTGTTTTGATATGATTATTCTGCCTCTTACTTCCAGAGGAAATTTGAACATGTCATTCTCTGCTGGTCTATTTCCTCATCTCCTCAGTGGGACTAAGAATGACCCCTGTGAATACAGGAATCATATTCACCTAACACAGTAGTGAAACAATGCATGGAAATATGGTATAGAAACTGAGAAGCACTATATAGCGGTATTACTACTATTATCATTAACTGGTTAGCATAGTGGTTACATGCATGTTGACATTTCTCTACACTCATGTAAAATCTATATATATTCTGTTGTATGTAAATTATAATCTCAATTAAATAAAACCTACTTTGGGAAAGATCGTTCAGCAGGGTAACATCCACTCTGTTTATCATGCATTAAAGTAGTATATACCAAAGCAGTCCCCATTCCTATGTGAGGAAGTACAAAATGCACGAATTTCTTTTACCAGAGTCTCCTGAGACTCATTTGATTAACTAGCTTTTCTGGGACAATAGTGAGCACTCGACCTTCATTATGCTCTTTCTGGGGAGATTATTTGTTCCATGCACACGTGAAGCTCTATGAAGGGGTATAAACACTACCGGGGCATCTTTTAGGTAGCATTCCCCCAATAAGATAATCTTGTCACAAGTCTCTTGCAGTCCGTCTGGACTATCTAATTCCATCTGCATCTCAATATGGGTACAAAGAGGGATCCTTCCTATTTTTGCATTTTCCAGTTCCCTCTCTGGGTGTCACTGGATTGGCCTGACCCTAGTGGTAGTAGTGGTAATAATAATAATAATAATAATAATAATAATAATACACATAAATTATATTCTGGGGCACTAGATCATGATAATAGCAAGGGAACTGCTAATCTTCAATGGTATGGAAAGTCTGGGAGTTCACTTCTGCTTCTGATGAGCTGAGCTGCGGCAAATTCACAATCACTTTGTAAAAATCATTCCACTTGACTTCCTGCACTGCACATTTTGCCTTGTCATGGAACAGATTGTGTGTATGTTGTCTTTCTGTTAAGACCATCTGACCTTGGAAATGAGATAAAAACACACTAGACCAAGCAAAAAACTAATACACAATTTCCTCTCTATTGGTGCTTTGCAAATTTTAATGAAAAAATAAATATTTAAGATGGAAAAGTATGATTAACAAATGTTTCAATAGCTGCCTTTAGATGAGATTTTACCCTGGTGATGAAAGTGATCTTAAGATGGGAGAATATTGTATCACCTGGCCAGTCACTAGTCTAAAACACTTTGAGAGAGTTGGAATCCAGGTGGAAGCAGGTACTATAACTAGATCTACATGTGAGCTTAATATCCATACTCACAAAGTGAAAACTATGCAAAAGCATTGAACTGCTACCTATTCTCCCAATTTCCAGTCATCCTTGGCCAATCTCATTTTTACAATTCAGTTGACTTTGGAGATGAATATCCCCATTCTGCAAAGTAAGAAAAATTAAGAAGAGACCATTTGCACGAGACTTCCCATTGAAGTTCTATTCAAGGTCACAGCTAGCAAGGTCCCTCAAAGGAAGTATATATTTGCAGAAAATGATGTCTGGCTTCGTTCTGACTCTTACTATTCTCAGTCACTTGGTATTCTAAGGTCAGCAGAGGCCTCTGTTTCCATGAGCTGGTCACACAGGTGTTTCTGATTCAATTATGCTAAGGAGAAATGGCATAGCGGGGTCTCTCTAGCATGGCTTGAGAAACTGGCAGTCTTATGATAAGAGCCACAGACTAGAATACAGTATTGGATGAGTCTTTAATAAAACTCATTTGGTCTGGGAGGAGGGGTATGGGGGCTCAGGAAAAATGAGAAATGTTTATCAGCCTTGGTTATTGTTTTAATTAAAAAAAAAGCAGAAAATTGAATTATTTGGAAGGGATACATGAAGTGTTTTCTACTTTATCAAATAGAACAATGTCCAGAAAGAAGTAGGCATTGCTACTTAGCCTCAAAAATGTTACTATTTGGGCATATCCAAGACAACGTTCTAATCTGACATCCAGAAGCGAGGGAGGTTTATCCTTAGTTTCAACAAGCTCCATATCTCTCAAAGGTTGTGTGTCACCTGCTGTATCTCTCAAGTGACAAATGATGACAGTAAAGTTGTAAGAGTAAGGACTTGCTCAAGGTCACAGAGTTTGGCAGCTAAGGTATGAGCTCCATAATATGTACTTCTTAAGCCACTAGACAACCTGTTCTTCTAGAAAACCATGACCCCAAGTTTAAGCCAAGGTCATTCTACTGTAGCACTGAAGTGATCAGTGGTAAAGAAAAGAGCAGGATCCCCTTGTGACAAAATCAACTTGCTATTTTTCATCATATATCTCCAACTAGGGGCTACCGTCTGGCTTAACAAGGTCCATAGGTCACCTGAAATGCAAAATTGTGGGAAAGTATTTTTTTCTCCTGGGCACTGGTTCCCTAAATTTTATCAAATTTTCAGTGGGGCTGTGACAATAACCCTTGCCACCCAACTCCCACTACTCTCTCCAAACCCCAGTTCAAAAAGAAAGAAGTTAAGATCAGAATGACTTGGCTTGTTTGGAAAGATTGCTTAGCATCTGACTAGGTATGTGGGAGTTCTTTAAATATGGCCACAATTGAGTCAATTTGAAGAGGGACTGTAAGAGCTGCTGAGGGGAAAGGAGGCCAGTCCTAGTGCAACACAATCCTTCTTCATCCTAGAATGTCTTGTGAAACTCAGTTGAAAAGGACATCTCGGGAAACTCCAAGGGGAGAGAGATAGACTGGACTCCATCAAACTAAAAAAAATGATTGTGTTTTAAGGGATACTACCAAGAAAGTGAAAAAGACAACTGGCAGAATGGGAGAACATAGTTGCAAATCATATATATGATAATGGTTTAGTATCCAGAATATATAAAGAACTCTTTCAGCTAAATAATAAAAAGACAATTTAATTTTTTAAATGGGCAAAGGATTTAAATAGACATTTCTTCAAAGAAGATTTACAAATGGTCAACAGACACATGAAAAGATGGCCAACATCACTGCAAATCAAAACCACTGTGAGATACTATTGTACACATACGAGGGTGGCTATAAGAAAACAGATAATAAGAACTATTGGCTAAGTTGTAGAGAAATGGGATTTCTCATACATTCCTGATGGGTATGTAAAATAGTACAGCTACTTTGGAAAACAGTTTGGCAGTTCCTCAAAAAGTTAAACATAGAGTGACCATATCACCCAGCAAGTTCAATCCTAGGTATATATCCAAGAGAGTTGAAAACATAGGTCCACATGAATACATAGGTCCACATGAAAACATAGGTCCACATGAACATGAATGTTCATGGCAGTGTTACTTGGAGTAGCTACAAAGTGGAAACAACTCAAATGTCTATCAACTGATGAACTGATAAATAAGATGTGGTAAAGCCATATAATGAAATACTATTCAGTATAAAAAGGAACAAAGTGCTGATATATGTGACAGCATGAATCTTGAAAACATGATGTCATATGAAAAAACCAGTCACAAAAGGCCACATGAGATTCCATTTATATGAAATGCTCAGAATAGGCAAGTCCTTAGAGACAGAAAGTAGGGTGGTGGTTGCCCAGGGCTGGGGAGGGAGGGTTGGGGAATTATTATTCATAGGTCAGGATTCTTTTTAGGGTGATGGAAGAGTCTTGCAATTGATTGTGGTGATGGTTGCACAGCTTTGTGAATATACTAAAAACTACTGAATTGTATACTTTAAAAGGGTGAATTTTATGGCATGCAAATGACATCTCAATTTTTTTAAAAAAGAGCTCAAGGGGAGAAAAATTCAGGAGGGATAGAATTTTGGAAAGTCTGAATTCAAAGGGATCTTAATGAACATTAGAGATCACCAAAAGCAGGGTTTCTCAAGTGGGCTCTATGAAGCCCAAGAGACTGCAGGTGGGCAGCAAAGAAATGCAGAGGTGGAAAGGAACACGGTATCTTGAGCACAGGGCCCCTCTTCTTGCCCCTCTGCCCTTCACTCTATCCAGAGCAGCTCTCATTTTAGTTATTTCACATGCTGGCCTTCTTGGTAGGATTTGAAGAACTGATACTGCAACTCAAAATAGCCTGAATTAAATTAGAATAGTGTTATCATTTTATGGATGAGAAAACTAAGGCCCAGCTCATTTGCAGCACAGCCAGGGTAAGAATCCTGGTGGCTGAACACCCAACCTGAGCCTTTCTCGGGGTGCTGTCCTTCAGGTGTGAGCCCTAATCTTAACTCCTTTTTGGACACTGAGACTCCACACCAATGATTCTCAACCTGTGGTCTCCAGACCAGCCGGCAGCATCAGCATCACCAGGGAATGGGTTAGAAATGCAAATTCCTAGACCACACCCCAGACCTCTCAGAAATCCTTGGGGTGAGACCCAACGATCTGGGTTTTGAGAAGCTCTCTAGATGAGTCTGATGCTCACTTAAATCTTGAAAACCACTGCTCCAGGTCACTCAAAGGCAGCACATGGAGCCATGAAACAGAACTGTGGACCCCTTGCATTTGCCCCTAGTGCCTAGACCATAACCCCTGAGCAAATGTCCCTCCAAAGAAAGTCAGTCGGGAGCAAGTACTAACAGAGGTGGCTGAGGAAGCTGATTAGTGGGGAAAGAAGGGTGGAGATGATGTTGTCAGGAAGAGAATACCACCAACCCACATTTAAAAATGGAAGGTGCCGATAAGAGAAAATAAATAACGAACAAGGAGCAAATATAATTTAGTAAGAATTCTGAGCATGTAAGGCTGGTATCGAAAGATCTGATTTAGGAGCAATTTATGCCAATTGGCATCAACATGAGAGTTGCCAGAAATGTTTCTGAATTAATTCTAAATTGGTATATGAATATCTAGCTGGCTTGAGGCCATCAGAGAAAATGATCATGATAGTCTTTAATCAAGCCCGAGTTGCTGCTTCTTTCTCCTTTACATTTTAAATACCACTCTGGAATTGGAAACTTAGCAAAGGACTAACCTTTTGGTCAGGGAAGATTCACAATCAACTCAATCTAAGGAAATAGGAAAGTCTGTGATTTCTTAAAAATTCAGAACCTGCTGGCTGGGGATGGGGTAGAAGGGTGATAAACATTATATATCCTGGAGCTTGCTTGATGCAAGAAAGAGAGCCCTCCTGCGGTCCAGATGTTCAAAGTGATAAAATGCACTTCAAATGTGAAAATGACTTGCACTCTGGCAAACAGCTCCGTTGGAGATACCAGCCTAATAAATAAGGTCATTGCACGTTATTTGACTTGAAGGAACTTTACGGCCACCCCAACTCTAGCCAAGAATCACTTCCAAGTGACTGGCATTCTCATTAGCACATGCCTTAGAAATTTACTTACCAAACAGATACCAAACATTCATCTGTAGCTTAATCCACACATGTTAGAAGTATATTCTGAAACTAGCAGACTAGTGTAGATGGAAGGAATTTGTGAAGTTTTCTTTTACATGATCAATGGAGGGGGAAAAAAAATCTGTATTTTTTTTTTTTTTTTTTTACCTCTTGGCCCATTTCCATGCTGCAAAGTTTTGTTGATTGAGCTTTGGCATCAACCATAACATTAAACATGGTGCATATTGACTGTGGGACTCGAAAATCTGTTGATCGACTGGTTTTTTGCAGCTTAACTTCAAATGCAATCCTGGTTCTATTAAAACAAAGTAGGAAAAGACCAATTCAGCATTCATGGCAGCAGGTGGAAGAGACATTTTCTGAGAGGTCAGTGAAAAAGAAAATTGAAGGCTGTAATCAGTTTCAATCGACAATGACTTCACATGTGTTCTTTTAAAAATGACTTTCCCAACTAAGGAAGGCCTATTCACGGAGACAGCCACGGAAACCCTCCCTTTCTCGGCAGTACACGGAACACCTGTAGCTCAGCGTATTTCTGTCTATAGTTTACATGCTATGGAGATCCCTAATTGCAGGAGAATGAATGAATTAACAAAAACCCAATTATAGCATTATAGCATATGTAAGTTCTCTCACATTGGCAACTGCCTACCTTGAATCACTTCATTAAAAAAACAAAAAACAAAAAAGCAGCTTTTAATCTTCAAAATCTCATGGTGGGGAAAAAATCTTAAATGACATTTATTGTTTTTTTTTTCCTTTTGGTTTTGAAAGAGACTGAAGTAAAAAAAAGATCCAGTTGTTATATGGTTTTAAAGACTGAAAAAATTAGATAGGTACCTTTGGAGAGGAAAGTTAAATTAGGAGGAATGGTATCAGGGGACTTCCACTATATCTGTTGGCAATGTCTATTATTCTGCGATCAGAGAGTATATCTCTCTATATTTTTAAGAGTATATATTTTTAGTAAGTGAAAATGGCACAATATACTTACCAATTCAAGAACTGTGTGATGGTGCAAGCTTAATGGGACATAATTCTGACATAGGTCAAATTATGATCCCAGCAACGTGCTAACTGCTCACAGGAAAAACCTAGTCGGACACGGCCAGCTGGCAATACAGGTGTGAGATTTAATCCTTGGTATCGGCATTGTAAAGGGGACCAGCTAGATTTTAAAAGGTTTTAGAGAAGTGGGTCACATCATCCCATGTCTTGAAAGAAAAGCACCTGGTTAGTAAGTGGTTTTATTAAAGCTCCTTTCGCCCAATGCATCTTTTCAGCATTGTTCGCCGTCAGGTTCTGGAGATCATGCAGCCACCAGGAAAGCATTGCTTCAAGAGGTATTAGTAGCAGTTTTCTAACAGTGCAGAGGAGGACCACACAGCTAGTTAGCTCAGGAAAGGATGCCAGCTTGCTAACACACCCTGAATGCATGCAGGGAAGCCAAGTATAATTTCTAAGGTTGGAAGCCTAGTTCTTAAGAAAAAAACTTAAAAGAAAAAAAAAACCCCTTAAAGCACTCCTATATATTATATGATCATGTTAAAGATAAATGTATTTTGGCTTCTAAAGACTCGGTGCATTGAAGTAGCTTTCTAATCATGATGATCATTTTAAGCTACACTGAAAATACATCCTTTCTGGTCTTGTGAAAAGGAGGTCTGATGGGGACTGAGTTGGACAGGTCCCTGTGCTGATCTTTTGAGGCCGGCACACCAGTTCCGGCCCCATTGGAGAAAGGGGAGTGCTACATCGTTCCCTTACAATGAAGTAAACGTCTTCTGTTTTCACAGGGGAACTGTGTATTGCCCTTGGAGGGTGCGAAAAGAGGAAACCAAATGCAAAATTAGTATGACTGCAAGGGCTCCAGGGAGGAAAATGCCAGGGATGGAGAGGTTACTGAATTCAACTGACTGTCCTTGAGGACAGGGTTAGGGAGCCGGGTTTCGATGGCGCACAGTATCTGGTATAGACTAGACTAGAGGCTCTGTCATGTCCATTGGATGAATGATTTAAATTTCCCAGAAACTTGGAAATGAAGAGTGCTTGATTTACTTTGGATGTTGTATATTTACATCTATGAAATAATGTCCTTCTAGAACGACGACCGTTTATTCCGTCACAAAGAGGAAAGCATAGATTCTAGGCTCTAGTCACATAGATTCTATGTCTTAAAACATCCAAGGACTTTTTCATGTTTTACCCTCTGCATCTGGAGGTCAGGGGATGATATTTGCACTTATATTTGCAGTTGTCTGCTTTTGTCTGGGGATGTAATTAGAAGGGACATCAAGAAATTTAAGCATCTGATGTCAAGTGTGAATGTGCAGTTGATCAGCTTCTGTTAATAAGAGGTTACTCAACAGCTACTATGTGCCAAGCATGATACTGGGACCTGGGGAGGGCCAGGGGCTCAAAATAAATAAGATAAACTCCCTGCTGGTGAGGAGTTCACACTCTTTGAGGTGGCTGGCCACAAAGATTTGTGGTAACAGTCATTGTCTACCTTTCACATCCACATGTCTTCCCATTTTTCCCCTATCAACTCCCCACTTCCTACTCCCTACTCGAAAGACTGGCTTCTCAGAAGGGCATATCTATTTTTTTGTACAACTGTGTGCACAGATCAGAAGCCAGTAAGTGTTCATTCTAATGTGCTGCAGCCCTGACTATAGATCAGGAGAGAATTTTTCACCACAGGGGAACTGCCCCATAAGAAGTCTTTGGTGGAATGGTTTGGCTGCAAGAAAAGAGTTGCTTTTCCTAAAACTGATGGAGACTATATAGGAAATGATAGAATTCAAAATTCTAAGGAAACATCTTGACCTTGAACAATAGGTCTGCCTTTGGTTTTAAGAGTAGGAAGAAAAGAACGAAACACACAATTTGGATTGCCAGGACTTTGAGCTTCCAGAAGTGCCGTCAAGCACCTGCCCAGACTCCCCCCGGCATGTACCTCCTTCCCCAGTTTCTGCTGAGATGTTCACCTGCCTGGACCTGCATTGTTCTTTTGCCCTTTTGGGTTCCAGTTTTGACGTTATTACTTCTCTTTTCTTCTTCCAAGATATAAAATTCAGATCACTCCCAGACAAACCCAGCCCCCATCACCCACAACTGATCCATCAACGAAACTACACAACATCTGGAGATCTGGAGTGGCCTGCGCTGCTTGTGGGCTTTCTTTTTTTCTTTTTGTTTTGAATGAAGAAAAATAATGAATGATTATGAACTGGAAAGGAACTTGGATGTGTGTCTGGGGAGAGACAGGGTGATGATAATGATGTTAAACCAGAGGAATTCCATCTCTGTGTCTGATAAACACATCTAGATCCTCCAGGAGGGAAGGGATGCGGTCTCTCATTCTTCACGGCATGGCACACCAGGAATGTAGCACTGTGTCTGGCAGGTAGGAGAAGCTAAACAATCTTTGTTGACTGGATGCATATTGTTCTCATTTTCTTCTCTTCACCTTCTCAGAACACTCTACCTGAGAACTTCAAGTGCAGCATTCCCACCTCGACCCTATATGCCATGGCCACAAAGCAGGCAATTTGTAGAAAGTTCACATGGATGTTTAACATCTCCTGCCCCCTCACTGATGTCTAGTTAGATTTGGGGCAGGACAACTCAGAGTCGGCACAGAGTATGTGCTCAGTTCACGTATATGGAACAAATGATGTTGCTGAGATCCTGCTCACATTTCTGCAAAGGTACTCATTTCCTGCTACCTGTACCGGGTTTCCGGGCTCCAGAACTGTGCATACTTCTCTTTTCTCCATCAGCCATCCCCCTCACACACACACTTACACCTTACACACATACTTTCTAAGTAAATATTGTGTGTCAGGTGCTGCTAGATACCAGGGATACAGAGAAGAACAAGAACAGACATGGGTCCTTTTCTCATGGAGCGAAGTGAAAAAACTGGCTACCATATCGTGTGGGGTTTGGGACAGACGTGGGGCAGGTGAACAGGAGCTAGACTTGGGTGGCCACCGCTCCAGCTGACTTGGACAAGCAAGTACCTTCTCCAAAAAAAATCCAAATTATGGGAAACTGAAAGAGTGGCCACCTACCATTCTCTGAGTCAGAGTGTAGTGGGGAAGGCGTGCGGGGCCCGTCCAGCCACCAAGGCTTACCTTTTGACACAAGATTCAATCATGTCACTTGCCATCAGCTTCAGCCGTTGTTCTAGGTGCTTTCCAAACTCTTCCTCAGGCCAGTGCAAATCCCGAATGAAGGTCTGAAGGGCATCGAGTTTCCAGAACAGATCTTCTGAAGTGCCTGATCCATTACTGGCAGGATAAAAATTAGAAAACGAGAGTCACCCACAGGCTTTGGATTCTGGAAAAGCTGACACAAAGACAACTAGGTGCTAGAAGGCTTAAGGCAAACAGTGGCTTGAACATACAAAACGACGCGTGTTGGCGGTAGAGGTGGGGGCCATCTCCACCGGCAGATTTTGAGTTTTACCATACATGACTTAGTCTGCTTTGTTCGGCCAATTATTCCAGACCAGTGAGAAGTCTGAGGAAAGAAAGGTGTTGCCCCACAATGACGAGGAGAATGGTGTATGGTAAAAATCAGCCTTCTTTTAATAACCACATTAACACATGTGATGATTCAGATGAAGGCCACGAACCAGAGGGAGAAGTCAGTTTCAACAGATAATAACTACATGGCATCATGCAGTTATTAAAATTCAGGGTTTCATGCACTCCCCCAGCTCCCCTCCAGAACGGAGGTGTCTTGAAGATTGCACAAGACTTTCAGTTTTAAAAGGACAGTGCTAACAAAGTGGTGAGCGAGGACCTGCTTTCTCTCTTGAAGAGCTGGAAAGAAACTGGGGTGACTCAAATCAAGACGAGTACATCTGGATACCTTGAGTCCAAGATTCTTGTTCAGTTTGGTTCTCACTCCAATTATCATAGACCAGCCTGTTGCATAGGCAGCCCCAGGACGAGGTGAGTTGTGGGGGTGGGGGGTGATGAGCCAACAGGGGATATTTGCAAAACGTTAGGGCTCAAAACCTGAGCTCTTTTTACCATTGTACCACCTTACCCAGTCGCCTGTACAGATGGAGAAATTGGTCTTGATTCCCTTCTGTACAATGAAGTCTAAGAAACTTTTACCTGGGGCATCCACGGAAAGCCTGTGTATGGGAAATGCTCCATCTCTCACCCTCTTGTCTTTCTCTGGCTGGCTTTCCCTTTGGTTAACAGTCCCATTTGGAGCTCTGAGGGGTGGCCACCCACCCCCCTTCCTCGCATACCACTAATGCTAACACAGTAATTTATAAAATGTCCAACACACCATGCATTACCACTTGTTCTGACATCGTCTATAGAAACAGATGAGAGTGGGTGTTTCTATTGTGACAGATGCCAGCTGCATTGAATTAATGCTTCAGAGAGAAATATAGCTAGTGCATAAACGCATACACAGCTACTGTGGGGTGGGGAGGGGGCAAACTCCCAGCATGCCGAGAGGGAGCCTACGGCCTGGACCAACAGGGTAATGTTTCCAAGGACAGACCAGTCTGAGGTCAGTATGTAGATGTATCTGACACGAAGGAGCAGGTAACATGGAAACACGTCCTTAAAAATGAAAAGTGGCAAAGGAGGAAACTGGAATTATGAAAAGATATAGAATCAGGCATTTCCTGGCGGGTGATTGAGGATCTACGCCTTCTATTCAGATCCTGCCATAAGCACCGTTCAAAATTGGGGGAATGCGTTATTTCTCCGTGAAAGTTCAGCCTTCCCCCTACTCCCCATCCTATGCTTGGGAAAAAGAAACCCCAACTTTGTCTAGTCTAAACCCCGTTTTGGAACTGCATGGTTGTATGTTTTAAATCATTAAGTACATATGAATGCAATAATTGGTATTTATTACAACAACATTTTGACACCCATCTGGTTTCAGAGTTTCAAAAAATTCTTCTAGGGTTTTTTTTTTTTTCTTTGAAGAGCTTATTATTAAGTTTTGACATGAGGAAAAGAATATTTTCTTTTTATTTTTAAGATAAACTGTTAATGTTAAGGCAATAGCACCAAGACTATTTTGATTGCTGAGCAGTTACCAAAATGTGTTCCCACTCATGCCTTAATTAATTGAATGGAGACCATTATCTGCTTTATTACAATGTCTTGATTCATATCTTTTCAAAAACAATGTCACAGAGCATGCATAGAAGAAGGTGAGAAAAGCTTTCAGATATTTATATTTTAATTTTTAACAGACTACCTAATCTAACTTTTGATATAGTCATCTTAGCATGAATATGATTTACTTTTTTTAGAAGAATTTTTTTTCAGTTATAAATTTTTGGAGGTTTTAATTTGTCTTTAAAAGAGAATCAGACACATTAACTATATGATTTCATTGTGCACTTGTGAACGAATAGAGGTTTTTAAAAATGTTGGGCAACTTCGAAGCAGCCAAGTAGAGCAGTCATTTAACTCCCTGTTTCTACCTGGATCACTGCAGAAATAAAAATGTTGAGGGCCATCTTGATGAATGTGATTTCGAGATTTCAAAACATCACTGCCAGTTTCAGATCATTTTTTATTCCTTTGATAATAACACTTTCCTTTGAAAATGTGCCAATTTATTCTTTCAAGAAAAAGCTTATCTGGCCTATAATTAGCTGTGGTCTAAGAAAAGGATCAAAGGAGGGTATAGAATCACTAAACCCTATTTCACTTATTAAATCATGCACATGGTTTTAATTTAATTTCCCTGAGGTAGAATTTAGGGGTGCTGGATCTTCTTCTTGCTACGGGAAAAAAAGAAAGTGGGTTCACTTCCTAAGCTAGAAGTGGCAGCTCAACCTCGACCCCTGAGCTCCTGCCTTTAAAGGGGCGGCCAGGCCTCCCCAAAAGACAAACCCCATGCATTCCTGGCATTTGTATAGATGAATGTAAAGAATGGCCCTATCCTCATACCACAGATGATACAGCTACTGCAAAATTTAATTATTTGTTGTTTGATTCTTGCATTCTCAAATTTAGATATTTTCTTGCTACCTAGATCCCAATGCTCCATATTGCATTATGACCTTGGAAAGTATCTTTACATAACATAGACATTACTAAGGCTTGATCCATTCAGAAGTTTTCATTTAGCCCTGAACATACTGTTACTATATCCTGCCATTTGCTGACACCAGAAATATGCTTTATGGTTTAAACAGTCTCTAGGAATTTTTTATTTAAAGAAAACCCCAACTTCTAGGTAAGTGTGCTTTCCTCTTAGATTTGGATCAGGCCAGAGATGACTGGACAGCCCATCAAAGAGGTTTCTTGGACTATTTTTGAATGAAGAACTCCTAGAGTCATGGCACCTGAATTAAAAAAAAAAAAAAAAGAAAGAAAGAAAAGCAACAACAAAACCAAAACAAAACATGGGCAGTCTCCTTTTGCAAAAGAATTCAGGAAGTGAAACATAGTCCTCAAGCGTTCAGTGGGCGTAAGACAAATTGTTAGTGCTGTATATATAGCAAACGTCTTACAAACACACTGCATGCCAGAAATAAACAATATTGTCTCTGTATGATCAGCAAAATATGTCTAATTATCCATCTCCATCTCTGTTATATAGGATGTATAGAAATAAACAATACATATCCATGCCAAGATCACTTAAATTTAAATTAGGTCTAATGTGAACTGAATACACACTCAGCATCATATATAGCAGCCATCCATGACGGTGCCGAAAAAGTAGGCATTTGTGGGATGCCTAGAGGGATGTTAACTGGTAGATTTGGTACTTTGGGAAGGTTCACATTGGGTAGGTTCACATTGGGTAGGTTACTGGTTAAACTCCTGTGGAAGAAACAGACAGAAAGAAAAAATACCATCACAGTGACAATGCAGATGTGGCAGAAGCACATGAACAGTTGTAAATAAATTGGCTAAGTCCACAGCAAGACAACAGTGAAAACTCAAGCAACATACTTCAGAAGACAGCTTATGGATGGCGAGCTGTGGTGCGGTTCAGGATTCAGAGAGAAATGACAAAAGTGAATGGAGAAAAATTAACCACAGAGTGACTTAAAAGTGTGGAAACTCAAAGACACCCATACACAATGATCACATTATTTAAATGCCGTGGTGAGGGGCTTTTGGCTTCCAAATCTACTGCCGTGAGAGTCTAGAACTTGTCTGACGCCAAGAACTTGAAGTTCATGGAATTCTTGGCATTGGTGGAGCTGGGGCTGCTGGGGAAATAGCTGGGGTTGATAGAGATAGTGGCGCATTTTCGTTTTCTTTTATTCATAAATTATTTTTGATCAAGGCACGTTTCTCAAGTCAGATATTAGACAAGGCACGATGGGAAGTTCACCCACTTGAACACATACTTTCCAACTGTTACTTCTGAAGACAGGTGTATGTGCAACAGGGTGTCACAGTTGATGGCAAAGATGAAGGAATTGTATCAAGAAGAAGGATTAGCTTTGAATAATTGTACAAAACCACTTAAAGAAACGTCCTCCCTCAAACTAAGTCCAATTAAAATGGAGAAAGGTTTACACACGTAAAAAGACACCTAGGAAAAGAAAAGAATCCCAAGCTCCCCTCTAATTCTAAATTCTTGGAGCACAAGTGGATTTCAAATGTGGCCTTGTGTTAGAGTAGTCACCCTTGGAAGTGAGATAGAGACTGGGAGAAAGAAAGCAGGGCTTTAGAGGTGCTGGGGATGTTCTGTTTCTTTATCTGTGTGATTGTTACAAGGGTGTGTTCAGTCTGTGAAAGTTAGCCAAGCAGCACATTTTTCTGTAAAGTGTTAAAATTAATAAAAAGATAAAAAATGTGACCTGCATCAGTTCTTTGTTTTTTGAACGAAGATGGATCAACTGACGTGATGGAGAGATGGATAACTTTATGAATAAAGAGAGAAATAAAACAAAAACAAAACCCCAACTCGAATCGAGCGTATCTCTGTGGAAGGACTGTGGCATTTACTGCTCCACAAACTGGCACCGTGTGTCTTCTGTAGTGGCATTTTAAGGGTGCTCCATCCAGCCAAAGTCACTGGCACGGTAGAGCCCAGCCTAACTCTGCATCTGAGAGGAGCCTTCCTGTTTAAGTGGAGTTGACAGAACTTTGGCACAGGAGTTGAGGGTTTCTTTTTGGATCTTGCAGAAGAGCAAGTTTTGCCAAAGCAGCTCTGCCCCGGGCAAGCTGTGTTTGACTAACAGAACTCTTGCAAGGGTTGGAGCTGCCTCTGGGCTTGCTTAGCAGGGCAAGCCTCCGGATAAGTCAGAAATCCTGGAACCTACAGAGAGTCTGGACACCTGCCTCCCTCCAGAAACAAGTTACTCTTTCCCAATGGCAACACGGATGGAAAAACCTAGAATGCAAAATTGCCAACCTGGCATTCTTTTCCTTAAGGGAAACAGGTGTCACACGGGTTAGTTCTTTACACTTCACATTTTGGGAAAGCCAATTACACTTCTCTACTTGGGATGAGAGGGTGCTCTTCTTGGAACGGTCAAGAGATTAGCTAAAGAGGACTATGAAGTAGAAGGAACAATGGAAATTTTCTTCGATGTTTCTCTGTTTAACTGGAGAATCTGCCTCTGAAGTCAGTCCCTGGTGGCTCTCAGACTTAAACACTGCCATGTAACAAAACCGTTGGTGATTTCCATGAAGACATGTGTAAGCCTACATAAGCAAATGTGATCATTAGATGATACACACACTGAATAATGATCAAGGAATTAGGAGATCTTTAGAGATGGCAGCCTGGCAAGTTAAAATGTTAATTCAAACAAATTAAAAGTAGCTAGGAATGAATAACATACAGATGTATGCAAAAGCAACTTAATTTAAACATATTAGTGGATGGTGGGTACACAAATTAGAAATGAGCTTTGTTTTACATATGCAAATTTGAAAAATACTTATATTAATCAGAACATACTGTATTTGTAAAATATGACATTTTGGCTGGACTACTGTGCTGGACTCATGTAGAAACATTTCCTTCATGTGACATACTATAATGCTCTATGTTTAAAAGACTAAAACATGCTTGATATTTCTGTTTAGCAAAATAATAGCGTGTACTATTAATGTTACTAATATTTTATTTGGATATTAACAACTTATATTAATAGTCAAAGAGGTAATTCCAAACATAATATACATGTGAAAAGGGAGAATTTTCTAGTAGCACACGGGTCAGATCAGGCTCCAGGAGCTGCTGATGGATATAACAAATTATTATTTTAGAGGGCCCTTCAGCAACTACCTAAAAACAAGTCCATCACATGCTTCTCTGTGAGAATCATAATGGGATATCTCTGGCTAGTATAAAAAGTGTGAACTGCAATCCTAACAACTGATATATGTTAAAAAATAGACTCATTCTGGGGCCCCTGCCTGGCTTAGTTGGAGGAGCGCATGACTCTTGATCTTGTGGTTGTGGGTTTGAGCCCCATGTTGGGGGTAGAGATTACTAAAGAATAAATAGACTTAAAAAAATTAGACTCATTCACTGTGGGGACTCTGCTAAGAAAGGATAGATAGCACCTATTCAGGTCAAATGCGCATCCCTGGGGCACTGGATTAAAAAGTTCTCATCTGTTCTCTCTCTCTCACACGGATGAATGTCACAAATGTGCATACCTCATTTCTATGGATGAAACGACTAGAGGTAGAGACATCCCTCACTTCTGGAATAAATTCTAATCAAGACTGTGTCTCCCTGCAGAGATGATATGGTCGGGTATTCTCTCAAAGACTTCTGGATGGGGACAGATTTGAGATTCAGAATGCCTCCCACTTTATGAGCCATTCGTTACATGAATGTACATCTTGTCTTTTGTTGCTCTGGACCCTAAAGCCTTTCTCTGTGCTTATCCTTAGGTTAATCCTTAGCTTGGGGAGGTGGGCACTCTCTGATATCTTCCTATAGTTTAGAGTGGTGTTTCCCAATCTTTTATTCATTAGCACCATCAGGCCCCCAACTGCCTTCCCCATGAGAATTTAATACCATCAATACACTGTAGATCTGTTTATGTACTCTAGGTAGACCTGTGCTTTATACATATACATGACAGGAGTAAAATTTTTTTTTTTGCCCCTCTGCCCTGCCAAGAACCAATTTTTACCAGCCTGGGAGCTGTAAAGCCCCTGTTTGAAAAGTATGACCTAGAGAATAAAGTTCTAAACTTCATGGGCTTTTAGAACCTCCCAATCAACTTTCCAACCTATGGCTTACCTCCCTCCTCATTTGTGCTGGCCAAACTCAAACATTCACTGTTTCTATCACATACCCTGCTTTCTCCCACATTTCTACATTTGCTCATGCTCTTCCCAAGCACCCTTCCCCTTTGGAAATCTTACTCTCCAAGCTATTTCCTTCGTGACTCCTCAGTGGAGATTCATTCATTTCTACTCTATGATCTCATCATTCTTTGTTACATTATTTGTACAGTGGTAAATATTTAAAGTCATTTTTCTTGTGTGTATGTTGCTCAGACCCAGCCAGATTGAAATCCCTGACCAGGGGACTGTATCTTTTCCTTTTCCTCCTCCCCATAGTTTTCCTACTGTAGCCTTATAATTTTCAGGCTGTATGGTTCCTTAATAAATATCAGTCAGTAAATATTTATTGAGCATCTTTTGTGTCCCAGGACCTATTCCAGGTGCTAGGGAGGCAGTGGTGATCAAATGGCAGGGAGTGAATATGGAAAAATCACATTTTCTAGAATGCTAGTGTTGAAAAAGTCTTGGGTATTCAAAATCCTTGTTTTACAAAAGAGGGTACTGAGGCTTGGGAAAATCATCTGACTTGCCCAAGGTCACCCAGCAAGTTAATGTCAGAGTCAGAAGTGCAGACTCCTCCAAGTCTAGTACTTTTGTATTTCATACCAGGTCACCTACATGTTGCTAAGATGTCTTTGGTCTGACGGTTTATGATCATTAAGATATCAATATCCTTGAAAATCTGGAAAATGGAAGTTATTTTAAAAATACTTTTCATATGTATATCTCAGGCAGAGAGAGATAGAGTGCATTTTGAGAAATGAGAAACAGGTTTTTCAGTGTGCATATATCAAGAACAGTGTTTAGTGCAACCATTCAGAACCATCCTAACCTGAAATGGGCAACCATGAAGCACGGATTCTCTGTGCCTGGAGGTGTTTGAGTGGAGATTGAGAGAAGGTCAGTCAAGGAGAGGGTAGTGTGGAGTGGGTACTTGGTACTAGTCCTGGGAAGCTTTGGATTGCATGCTTTCTAAATTTGCTTCCACACTGAAGGCCAGAATGACTTGATTAACAAGGAGCCGATTCTAAAAATCTGGTAGAAATGTTGTCCAACTGCCAGTTAGGAACAAAAGCTTTTATTCAGGCTATGGGAGAGTTGTGAACAACCTGTCCAGCAATGGTCCTATGACGTGTCCTCATGGACACCCACGAGAGGGTTATGGGCTCTAGCTTGAGCCTGTTCTTGACAGGCTGACTATCTTCAGCTGTGGTTAGAAGCTGTGTGATGACATTTTTCACAAATACACTGAGATTCTAATTATGACTGCATCTGGCTTAATGGAAACAGAGATGCAGTTGCCCTTTCTCTCTGTGCAGAGATGGGCAGCCACCTTTCTAGAGAAAAGCAGCAATAGGACTTGGCCATTTGACCCTTTCTCTCAGGTAGCTTCGGTTGTATTGAGCCCAAACGACTGTATCTCTGTTTTATTTTATAGGTCCATATTTTGAAATAAGAAAATCTGAAGAATAGAGAATATTTTTTGATCTATTTTTAGCAAGCTCAATATATTAGTAGCATTTTCTTGCCAGAGTGCCATTTTTCTTTAA